GATTGTCACTTTTGGGCTCAGTTCAAACACAACAACATGGAATTTCAACAAGAGAGGCTCGGACCCTGTGAGCCCCTCCCCCACTACATCACTGATGTAACCCTTAGGCCACATACAGTACACGGCCCACAATGGACAATAACCAATAGCATATACGCTTTACATAGTACTCTATATACCATATTGTGTTATAACATACTTACAAAAATAAAAATCTTTAGACACAAACATATGAATATGTGGATGTATTTGACTAGCACTTGCTTTCGGCAAGATATCCCACAGCAAGCTTGGTAGCGTAAACGTTTCGTCAATTTCAAAACATTTTCTAAACCTATGCAGAAAATTAACAATTATATACCTACAGAAAGATTAGAATAAAATTTTCATTCTTATGTTCACTTAATTATACACGACAAATAAGTACATTAATATCTCAAACTCATTAACAATTCATGAGTAATTTAGCTAGCCATACTACTTTATTTTGCTCACATGATAATACTGGATAACTGGTGAAGTATATTGATTCAGTTCTAGGACTGGATCGAAATTAATTCAGCCTTGGACTGATGAAAATGGGAGCCTCCTTTATAATTAGTGATTTATTCCTATGAGATGTCACTTCAGATCTCCTTGGACTGGATCAAAATTAATTCACCTCACTTTAATTATTGATTTATTCCTATGAGATGTCATTTCAAATCCTCCAATTCGGACTGGACTGGATTTCAAATCGTCGCATTTTAAGGTTACAGAACACCTTTGAGTGTTAATTTTGCCTAATTTTTTTTATTGGTTTCCATGAATTAAAGCACTGGACTACTTCTACTATCTGACCAAGTTTGATTTTTTGAACGAAAAATGTTGAAAACTCGCGGAGTTATTTGACAAAATACAATTTGCTGCAATATAAGAAAAACATTGAAAACGTAATACTCAAATTCAATCTTCTCCCGAAGAATTTTACGGCAATTACTGATTTTCAAACGAGTTGCTCTCCTGCGGGTTTTAACGAATTAATTTTTCTCAAATTTTCACAAGACAAATTGCGTTCGGCTTTTTTCTAATTTTGGATATTTTAATAATAAGGAGCAATTCACTCAAACAATTCAGAAATATATTGCAGTCGTCAAAGAAATCGCCATATCAGCGGAATGACGAAATACATGTAAACAAAAATCTCCGAACACAATTTGTTAGAACAACTATTTTACAGTATAAGAATGATATTTTCATAAATATATCTTAAAAACAGCAGGAAAACAACTCAAAAGCGTAAAGGTTTTGGCTGAATAATTCTTACATTATTTTATTGTTTGTCAATTTTACAACTTACCATATTTTGCATGCACTGGCGAACATTTGATGAAAATCGGACTGATATTGAGCGCGCAGTAGCGATTTTGCGCAAAATGCCACAAAGGGTGTCCTGTAAAATTTTGCGCAAAATGCCACAAAGGGTGTCCTGTAACCTTAACCCAGTCCTTGGCTTCGTCTCGGTGCACGGACGTCAGATTTGAAATACTACGTAAAAACGATCACCAAGGCATTAAGGGTCTACTGAACGTACCATTTTTGAGATAATTCCATTAGATCTAAAAACTAAGAAAACCATGCAATTACTGCACTGTACTGTATTGTTCAATTTATCAATTGAAAGCCCCGATTACACTATACCGGATTGCATCGGAGCGTCGCGATTTTCACCGGATTCGGCTGCTGTTTACACTACGCCACAGTAATCCGGTACGCGACGCGGCGTAAAAATCACTCCGCTTTGGAGGTGATATGAAAAGTAATCCGGTATGTGCCGAAGCAGTGTAAGCAGGCCAATCCGGTACGCTTCGATACAAAATCGGTTTTGGCGTGTACGTTTTACCATTGTCGCCTTTATTTGCTCGCTTTTACAATATTTTAGAGCTGTCGTTTGTTTCGCCTTACAACCATTTACTATTTCTGGCGAAGACAAATAAAGAAAACGATAATAATATTGACTTTTCGCTTTCGATAGGGCAAAATTTAAAGAAATACTCGTCAATTTTGGATTAGAGCGAAACGAAGCAACGTCTGGTAGTCAAGCTTTTTAAACAAAGTTATACTTTACAAAGAAAACGTGTGTTACTTCTTGTTTTTAATAAATTTTAGTATACTGGCCAAAAATATTACTTGTTTCCATGGCGACAGGGAGACACGAGCTGGAAACAGAGCGAAGCGGCATGCATAGTGTAAACACCCTTGTTTTTTACTTCGGAGTGAAAATTAATCCGGTATGAAAATCAATCCGGTATAGTGTAAATCCAGTCGAAGTTCCTTTCTATTGATTATGACGTCTATATCGGTAGTTTTGGCTTTTTCAGCATTTTAACAAGGGTTGATAGCACTATCAGAAGCAATCTCGTTCCCCGAGTCTGCGATCCTCGGGAAGGAACGCGAGGCTCTGGGATAATCCGTTTCAGGGAGGAATCTGATTGGCCGTTGAAATGTAATGCGTAGTTCAATCTTAGCCAGAATTCCTGGCTTCCGGCAACGGATTATCCCAGAGCCTCGCGTTCCTTCCCGAGGATCGCTGGCTCAGGGAACGAGATTGTATCAGAAGACAACCGACCTGTTTTCTACAGTGCACTGCCCCAAATTGTATGTATACCCTACATTGTACAATACCCTGCATTGTACATACACTGTACAATTCGTGTACTGCACTTCATTGTAGTGGGAGTTTTGTTCTCTGAATTTATACACAACTGCAAAACTTGTTTTACGTGGAAAAAAATGTACCTGGTCTTCATTAAACTCTAAAGGATTGTGATGTTTCCACAGGCCAAGTCCATGAAACCTCTCAATTTTGAATGTATTGGCGACTGAAAAACAACATACCAAGTTATTTGTTCGAAATATCTCTAAGTTTAGTACCTCGTATGAAGCCAGATGCCGTATAGCATAGTCATAATGCAGCAACATTTTTAAAAACAAACCAGAAGTATTAAATATTAAAAACTCTACTATTTTGTCGTAAACGACTAAAATAAAATTTTAAAACTCTTTCTCGCTCAGTCCCAAGCATCGTAGGTCGCTAGAAGCTGCCGACCTTTGGATGTTCATATCTTGAGTTCAGTGCATGCTATGAAGACAATACCACCACCATACGATTCAATGAAACAAAATCAAATAGTTTTAGTTATTGTCAACAATACTCAACATTGTAGCAATTTATTGCCTCTGAAAGGCAAGCGAGAGTATCAAGTTACTCAATAAAAATATAGACTGGCCATACACGGCTAACGTGACCTTTAGAATCGGTTTCCGTGTGGTTTCCGACGTTTCCCGAGTGCTAGGACAGCATTGTTTCGACAATCAATTTGTATTTCTGGTTGAAGCTCTCACCAAAAATTTAGATATTCTGAAATACCGAAATAAAATCTGTAGATACATGCTTGAAAATAACACGCTGAATAGTGTTTTGGATTGTGATTCGAACAAGACTATTACGAAAAAGATACGTTAAAGATATCTTGGTAATACATTGACATTGTTTACATTGTTTGGGAAAATTGTGTGAAATATGGTATCGCTTGACTTCTAAAGATCGTAAATCGCCATAATATTCATGTTGACATTTTACTAAAACCATCGATAGAAATTGTTTCACTGAAATTAAACGGTGGTATTTTCATCCATATAGCATACCTCTCTCCTCCGCAGAGGCGATTGGAATAGGCTTACATGACTCTTACATGAAGTTTCGGAATCTTACATGAAGTTTCGTGCGCGCTTACATGAAGTTTCCTGGGGGAATTCTCTCGCCAATTGAAACTTCATGTAAGATTCATCATGTAAGATTCATTATGTAAGCCTATTCCATTCATGTAAGCCTATTCCAATCGCCTCTGCGGAGGAGAGAGATAGCATGCGCACTGAACCAAGGATATGAACCTCCAAAGAAAACCGACGATATCGATCTGGTTTATTTATGCGCAAACGAAAGAGTATGCCTAATGCCTTTAACTACAAAATTTCATAAACCAACGGCTCATTCGTATGCCTTTAACTACAAAATTTCATAAACCAACGGCTCTTTCGTATGCCTTTAACTATAAAATTCCATAAATCAACGGCTCTTTCGTATCCGTTTAACTACAAAATTCCATAAACCAACGGTTCTTTCGTATGCCTTTAACTATAAAATTTCTTTAACCAACGGCTCTTTCGTATTCCGCACATGCGCAGACTAAAAACTGTCAAACTAAACATTATTATGATTTTCTACATAGTGGTTAGCTGCGCATGCGCAGGCTAACCACAAGAACTAATCACAAAAATGAGTCGCTACATTGCGCATTGATCGATCATACTACAATAACTATCAACTACAATAACTGTTGAAAGCTATCCGGAACAGAACTTACTGGTCACAGAATGCTTTGATTTCAAATAACCAAACGAATCCATTCCTGATTGCCTAATAACAAATTGAGATTGCTTGAACTATTTTAGCAATGAACGGTCGATCTGTATATGTGGAAGTTACAATACGAGGCTCAGCAGAAATTGTAAAGAATGCTTTATCGTACTTATTAAACTCATATTAAGAGTGGTCAAGATTGATATAAGCTGGTTTTATAGCTAAATACAAAAATGTTATGTTCACAAAGACGAAATCTGTGTCAGTTTCACATACATTGGTTACGAATTCATTTTTTTTCTTAACTATTTTCTTCACGAATTATTAAAAATATTGTGAACAATATTGTGGACGATTTGAATATAAAATGATGCACGAGCCAATTTCGACATTCGACCGGCCATTTTAAATCTGATCGGATATTTGTCTATCTTTTATCGATCGCAATGATGTGAAAAAAGTTCATCTATAAACATGTACCCAGCAACTAAAGTTGGATTACTGAAGGAGTAAAATGGGAACTGGGATTGATCTATTTTAGACTGGGAAAATGGGATTTGGGTTGCTGGGACTGGGATTTGGCCACTGGGAATGAGAAATGAAGTCCTCAAAAATGGGAATGGGATTGAGGTAATGCGAGTCGATTCCCAATTTTTCTACGTTTTAAGTATTTTAAAATACAATTTGGATCCGTTTTTGGTGTCTTTGGTCATGATTGTTGTTGTTAACTATATTATTCACAGCACTACCTGCGAACAGGCATACTCTGGCGCCTGGAATTCTGGGTATTCTGATTATGCGTGTCTCATAATGCTGCAAATGCCATTTCCGGGATTCAAATTTAAAAATTTTCCGTGCC